CTAATTAAGGGTGCTGTGCAAAATGTACGATTCTTCAACATCCAGAAATTTTCCTACGTTCAGAAATGATAAGGCACAATCGTACTACGGGCTGATTCATGGCGAAGAGTCTTCTGTGCTTTGACGAGCCTTCCCACCACCCTCCAACTGGCCCAGAGACGACCAGCGGTGTTTCGGTAAACGGTCGAATAACTTGGTGGACATTTGGGCGAAAAGAAAACGAGATATCGGTTAATGGAGCGATGCCTTCGGGGCAGCTAGATATTATCGTCACTTCGACCCCGTTAGATTTATTTCCACGCGTCACCCCTTTCGAGCAGAATAAGCACATTTACCCTCCGCAACTGAGTGCCGCCTGGATTTCAGAATTCACCCTTCTCTCTGTCTCCCCGGGCATCTACATACCCCTTAGACTCTAATCGTGCAAATAACGCTACTTCGCTTCTCTCGTATCCCTTGGTTCAAGCAAATCGATTCCAGCGGACCTACCGATCGTTCGTTCCCACTTCTTCTTCTTCTTCTTCTTCGTTCGACTCAACTCGATTCGATTCGACAGCTGATACTCCCTTCGGAGCGATTCGTTACATGCTCGTCAACATTTCCGGAATAGATCGTAGGATACATGCTCATCGACGTCATTTTTAATCGGGAATTTGCATGGAGAGTGGAGGGTTCGTATCCCTGGCGAATTCGATGATCGATTCTCGAACTGTTCGCGCGGGCTCGAGCGCTGATGGCTACGGAATATTTAACCCTGTACTTCCTATTGTACACAGTCTCTTGTGTTTCTTTTTCCTGTCGAAGGAAAACCTTGGAAAGTCGATTGTATCCAATTTGTAGACACTTTCGAAATGTGAAGAAAACGAAAGAAACGCTTCTGTTGCATCTGTCAGACAAGTTTAGAACGAAAGGATTGAAAATGAAGTATTACGAGCATCTTGAATGTACGAATGTGCAATAAATTTTGGAAAATTTCTCGGGACGAGACGGGACGAATGTGGTCGCGGCTAATTATTCGACAATCTGGCTCCGCTAATTACACGGTGTGCGTCAGTACGGGCAATTTCCGGCTCGTCGATACACCGATAAAAACGAGTCGATTCTCCACGGGGAAACGGGGGCAATGGTAATCTGCAGGATACGCGCATAATCGAGAAATTTTCGACGCGACTGTTTAAAAAATGCCTGCAGCGCGGCTGGTAAACGGAAAATACGGGAAATAGGGTGGTAAGCGACGAGTATTCGTCATTCGTCCGCCACGACTGAAACGCAATATCGAGTTAGCGACTTGCTGCAAATGGAAACGAATGGGGATCAAAGAAAGAGAATTATTACAGAATATACGAGGAGAGTTTTGCAAAAAGATAACGGCAAAGGGAATATTTAGTTTTACAGTTTAATCAATGGATGGGGAAAAATGTTCGGTTGAACTAACGGTTCACATGTTTAGAGTTGGTGAGGGAAAT